CATTTATGTAAGAACCACTGCAAAATAAATGTTCTAGTATTCTAGCTCTCCTAGCTTGATTTTAAATTGTTGATTGAATCCACTGAGATAATTTCACACCCTGCTGCTGAAAAATCTTTCCTTTCATCGGAAGATCAGCTATCGTATGAACTACAGCGTTTCAACTGCATCTTCAAATATAAAAAGCGAAGCAAGACCTAACAATAGTTTTATTTAATGAAACTGCCTCTTCAAAATTAACTGAAATTTAATCAATCAACTTTCAGAAATAGTGTTACCAAACGTCCTCATTCGGGAGGACAGGTCCTTTTTTAACAGGATTGTCCTCTGTCCTGTCACCTTATTAAATTCTACTAAAAGTTCTTCATTCACGTAATTTTTATTAAAATATAAAACTTAACAGGTTTTTTCAGATTTTAAAACTCATTATTACAAGTATTTAATATTATCTTGTTTTTTTTTTCGTTTGTCGTTTTTTTTGTTTTAAACAAAATGCGACAATAGCTAAAACAAATTCGTCCCCTCCTCCTGAGGTGTGACTGATCTAGTTTGTTGAACTTTTTGAACTATTCTAAAGTTCAACAAAATTAAAATTATTAGTTATCTGTAAACATTTTTTTTAATTACAATTATTAATTATTGTTATTACGTCTTGTGGAAATTTCCGATGCGAAATTTTATAAAAGTTCTCTTTTAAGCTTGCACCTTTTTAAGGGAAACAGTATAAATTAACAGAACAGCAAGAACAGGAAGCATGGTGGGCTTGTAGAGAGGGAACTCAACAACAACAATTCTGACATTAAGACTAGCAGCGACACTTACGTCATGTGACACTAACAACACTAACATCAACAACAACAACAACAAGATCATTTATTTCAGTGATTCAATTGAAGGACAGAGTCATGTGAAAAACGCGTGGCGTGATGCAGTGCCAACTCTTCTGTTGATTACAACCGAACAAGCCTTCCTTGCACAATGCATATTCGTTACAAATAATTTGGCTGACTAAACATTATTTCACCAGCGGGAAGAAACATTTGTTAGTTTTTCTTCTTCTTCTTCGCATTATTTTTATTAATATTATTATTATTATTTATTATTATTATTATTTCAACCCCAGCAACTTGAAACATCCACCACGACACCTCCTTTCATTGGACGTTTGGGTTTATGGGAAAGTCAGCAGAGTGTTAGAGACAGTTAAGAATGGAAACAAATGAAAATTAATATGATAAGTGCTGCTGACAGCTGCGACAACATCAAAACAATGGAAAAATAATACCACTCTCTTTTATTTCTAGAAAAATATGAAATATAGTAAAATGAGATAAAAGTCTAATTAAAATCTATTAAAATAAAATAAAATAGATAAATTGATTTAAATTAAATTAAATACAATAGTATTCTACGATGCTCATCATTTGAAATAAACGAGTACAACGAGATATGATTAGTTTTAAACGAACAGTTCAATTGTTATTGCGTTCACAGTAGATGGCATAAGATGACGGTATTACAGAGTTAATAAGGTTATTATAAAATTGATCTGACCAAATGTTATTGATTAATGATAAATTTAAAAAATTGCAAAAGCCCAATGTTAAAATTTCAAAAGTATTAACTATTATTTTCAGGTGTATTAAATTGTCATGCAAATTATTTTTGAGATTTTCTGAGTATTTGATGGTTTTATATTTTTTTGAGTTGAGTAGGTTGGATTCATGGCAGACCGTCAGCTCTAATATTTCTATTGTGCCGTCACGAAGTATTGCGATGTCAGGACGTAGGGATTTGAAGAGAGAAGACACTGGAGGGATCCCATCATAGTCCACATCTGCATATATCGAAACCTCTGGACCCGCGCATGCTTTCAACCTTTCTATAATTATGTTTAAAATATTGTTGTGACGCATAATAATAATAAAAATAATAATAATAATAATATAATAACAAAGTTTAAAGTGGTTCAGTAGACTAGCATTTATGTAAGAACCACTGCAAAATAAATGTTCTAGTATTCTAGCTCTCCTAGCTTGATTTTAAAATTGTTGATTGAATCCACTGAGATAATTTCACACCCTGCTGCTGAAAAATCTTTCCTTTCATGGATTTTCTGTCTTCTTGAAAAGCTTGTATCTGTGGCCTCTTAATTCTTTCCTTTTTTAGTTGAAAAACCTGACGAACGGTGTTTTTTTCTAGTTATTTATTAGTTATGTCTGAATCAGATTTCATCTGCATCTTCTCCTTTTTAGTGTTGTTAATCCGCATTCTTTCAGTCTATCCCTTTATTCCAGTTATCCAACTCCTTCGATCATCTTTGTTGCTCTACGCTGTACCCGTTCAAGAATATTTTAATCCTTTTGCAAATCTGGACTCCAAACTCGTGAACAGTACTCGAGATGATAGCAAACTAATGTTTTATACCAAGTTTATAATGATCGACCTCTCTCTGCTCACCACCGTTCTAATACATCCAAGTATTTGATTGCTTTGGCTGCTGCCATAGTACATTGTCTTGGTGTTTCCGTGCTTTTATGAATAGTGATTCCGAGGTCGTTTTCTTCTTCTGTAAATCGAAGGTCCTTCCTGCCCAGTTGATATTGAAAACCTTTGTTCTTTCTTCCCATGTGGATAACTTTACATTTGTCTATGTTAAATAGCATTTGCCAATTCTCAGACCATTTGTATAGTCTTGTCAAATCTTGTCTTAGTACTAACCCCGCATCTTCCTCGTTGTTGACCCTTGCACACAGCTTCGTGTCGTCCGCAAATTTTGATATCTTTGACATTATGCCAGAGTCGATATCATTAATGTAGATAAAAAATAGTAAAGAGCCCAGCACCAAACCTTGAGAAACTCCACTTGTGACGCTTATCTAATTTAAATTCTTGCCTTTAATCTGCACTTGTTGTCTTCTGTTCTTCAGTCAGTTAGTAATACATTGAAGCAAATTTCTAGATATCCCACATGCCTGTAGTTTTTTGACGAGCTGTTTATGTGGCATTTTGTCAAATCTTCACCAGTCAATATTTAAGTCCAAATATATTATGTCTACGGAGTTTTCACTGCCCACATTGTTTTAAACTTCCTCAAAGAAATCCAAAAGAATGGACAAACCAGAACGTCCCTCCATGAATCCGTGCTGGATGTTTTTTTTTTCATTTTTAATTTTATCAGATAATTAATTAACTAAGTCGTTCTTTGCTATTTTTTCTAATAATTTGCATAGTAATATAGAACATACTTTGCATAGAACAATCTTTAATGAAAATGACAATAAAATAAAACAAATTGGCAAGTAGAATAAAATAAAAGTA